CTTAGGTAGGGGGTCTACTTTAAGCCACAAAATCCGGCACCCATCTTTCTACCGGAACGCTGCCTTTGAGTCGAAGTGGGCGCGAAGCTTCAAGTCCTTCAGTTGGTAGTGACTTCCAAAAGGCGACTCACGTTGCTTTTCTTTCTTGATAACTTCTCTCAAGTCGTTCCCCATGTTCATCGAGCAGGGTACACTTAAGAAGACGTCTCCATAATAGGGGTGCCTTCCAATTCTATCTCTGCATCTTCGCATAGGGTGCTCTTCCGAACTGAGTCTTCTTCCGATTCACTCGCAATCCGATCTTTTTCCCAACTTCGTTTAGTTCCTTCAGCATCGTCTCTGCTTCAGTGATGCCGCTTGAAAAGGAAACGCGTCCGCACAGGGTTAGAGAAAAATCTCCTATCAACTCATGTGCCTCTCTCGTCCCAATAGAGTGATTTTATCACCCAGTGCAAAGTCGTGGTGAATTGTTCGGCGAAGTTATGTTGCCTCGTCGAACTCTCTTCCCATCTGGGGCGGTAAGGGGACGGTGATATAACTGCATCGTCTTTGTTGATTACTTGGAGTCGTCGGCCAATGTTCCCCCAGCTGGGCTCACTCCTTTACCGACTAGCGGTGACAGGGTGGCGTTGGTTTCGACGCTGTCAAAGGCTTTCTCGTGGTCGGCGAAAGTAGAACTTAAGACGGTGAGCATTTCCGGTAGACTTCTACGGCCATCGAAATCTATACAGTTGAGTAGATTTATAGTGTGTGTGCACCGTACCAGTCCTGCTGAGTGTACTGTACAGTCGAGTAGATTTTTCGCTTAATATTGTGTGCTTGCACAGAAAGTGAAATGCGGTGAAATTCTCACGTGAACAAATAGCTTCGGCTGTGACGCCGGTCAATTGCACGCGCAAAATGCCGGCAATACTGGCGTGGCTAATTATTCACGCGCAAATTCCACCATATTTCGCCTTTTGTGCAAGCACACTATATTAAGCGAAAAATCTACTCGACTGTACAGTACACTCAGCAGGGATACTGGTATGGTAGTCTGAGAGCTTCCCATTCTAACTTTCTGAAGAGAAGACGATCTTTGAGATTCTTCAATGGTCAAAGACCTTTTTTGAAGGTTAAACATCAGATGCGACGCGAATTTCGTGTAGACATTGTCCTCCAGCTCGCAGAATTTTGAGAGAGATGTGCTCAGGTCCTGAGCTATGGACGTCCTGTGGTCGAAGATCCAAAGACGCACTGCGCACTTCAGGAAGTAAAATTCGTCTGGTACTTCTCCAGTGGAAACAACGGGCGTCGACACGGGCGTTAATGGGCGGCAGAAGTTGGTGTAAGTTTTTTGCTACAAATTCATTTCCTACCGGAAAGAAGTTGGGGCAGGTCTTCGTTTAGCAGTGCTGCAGTCTAGCAAAGCGAGATATTAGGGTGAGCGATGAAAATGGGACACTTTGAGAATAATTGTAAATTTCTCAGGAAAGAAAAGCGATTGAATTTTTTAATTTCGACGGATGTTAGAGTATATTATTCTACGCAGTACCTATATAAGGTCATTTACATACCTAACAACTCTTATACTTGCTGAAATGCAAGTTAATCATTTCGACAAATTAGGAACTTGTAGCAGTATCTGCGCAGTGAAACATGCGAAACCATCCAAAGGACTACTGCTGCAATGGGTGAGGCTACAGTCACCGAACCCACTGTGGCTTGCTGGCCGTAACGCATGAGGTCAGGTAATATGATCAGTAGCCGGTTTGGGAACAAAGATGCGTGTTATTGTTGATGGAACAAAGATGTGTGTTCTTTGCAAGTGAATGCATGTTTTCTGGCCACCATCTGATAGAGCTTCTTACGTTCTATCCATCCATATGCTGGTTACCTCAAATTTTTCCTCAGAAATTACAGATTGAAACACGATTTTTTGATTTCATTGTGCCAAAAATTCGCAAATTTTTAAGTTTTTTGCTTTTTATCTAAAAATAAAAGGAAGGAATATGCATTCAATAAACCTCTTAAAAGAGCGTGAAGAACTCTTTCGAATGGTATGTGACTCGCTTTATAACTCTACGGTATGGAAGCGCAAGACTGCGAGATATTCAAAACCCTGTTCGAGTTCTTCGAGGCGCGAGGCGTCAAGCGTTGTGGGAGAGGAGCGTTAACGCGTTGCCAGAATAATAGGCGAGGGTCGCTTATGTAAGTGACTTTTGAGTTGCAATCTGGTTGCTGTTGCTCGAAACAAAAAATCCCAAAATGTAATGAAAATCAAGCTGTCCCATTCTTCACCGTTCACCCTAATATTTGCCGAAGTTCCTTCGGCAGTCATATTCTTCATTCGGCTGCTTCCAGTATTTTCGCCTGTCTATACTTCCGAGAATCCTTCTGCAAAGCTGTTCTGCAGCTGGCGTTTGCTCCAGTCGCTCGAAATGCATTACATTCGGATCATGGCTCAAGGCTGCTTTGCCATTTTAGGTTCTTCTCATGAACCGTGAGGCAATTTCTGCGCAGGCTCGCAATTACACTAATTTTCGGGGTATAGGGCGCAGTAGCTTTCACCGCGCGCGGACTGATGTATGATGAGGTTCGTGAGCGCGGCGCCGCACAAGCAGCCAACAACAATCTCTTTGACCCAGCAGTAGCTTTTTGCTACCGTTCTTTGATGTTTTCCTCTCAAAAGTGATTTGTTTCAGAACAAATCTCTACCTTCTCTTTTATTCTTCAAGAATGACAAGAACAAAACAAAAACCGCACCTTCAAAATACCAGTAGTAGGGAAGCCAGTACCAGCATTATTGGAAACGAAGGAAAGCACAAAGGTAGCACCGGTAACATCATTCAAAACAAAAGAAAGAATTATCCAAACTAAACACCGAAAACACCTTCATCCCATCAGTAGAAATATCACAGTATACATTCTGAGATTTTAAAAAAGTAACTAGAAGCACGAGCTGTGCGCAGTGAAGGATAACCACAGCACACAGAGTATTAAGCTTTCTAGATTCAAGAGGCTTGACGTGGATTGCGTTAGAATGACCAGTCGAGGTGGTAAGTTCTCACACAAATCGACGGACCTCCAAGGTTTTATGATGGAACTTTACCGATGATGAGGGTTCCATAAGTCAACTGCCGTGAGTTTTCTTCCTGGTCTTCTGCGTTCTGCAGCGCCGAGAAGAGCCGGCGGCCGCCGTTTATGGAAATATTCTGGCGTTGTAGGAGCAAAGCATAAGGCAGTCTCTATGGCATGTCGTCGCATTCTTGTTGTCTCGCCGTACGGGTAAGAAAACCTAAAACTTATTTCCGACAATAGCAGACATACCAGGCCATGCTCTCGTCTTCCACAGGGCAATCGCCCATCCTCAAAAATTTGGTACTTGAAGGGAGACCGCCGGCTATACATAGCTACAGCTATAGGCGGCGATCCGACCGGGACTGCTCTTAGCTAGACATTCGGCTTAGGCCAGAAAACTACCATATTATACAATCGGCTGTACATAGTAGTTTAAGCCCGGTGACACTCTCACATCTCGAAGGCGGCGGGCCTTATTGGGGGCAATCCAGAATAATGAACCACAATCAAGTATTTTCGGCATATGCGAAATTGACGAAAAGTCAAAATCCACGGTGACGTTTTGGACATTGGAAAGTCACCACGTTTCCTGAATTTACGGTGAAAAATCGCGCGAGCCAAGACGAAAAAATTGGACGCCCCAATGTTTGGGTTCAGCCGTGTTTGCTTGCATAAGGTGAATGCCTGTTTCTCTGTTTGTGTGTCTGTGCACGCAGAGAACATTACCGTAAGTTGCCATGGGTAGCATACGATACACTTCAGTTTTCCCAACATTGCGGACAAAATCGGGCAAAACTGTACCACTTCGGGGCTTAAGGACAGCGAGAATTGATGAACAGCTGATCGCAGGCATGGAAAAAGTAAAACAAGTTTCCTGTTTTGTTCGTTTTGCTTTGGTTTTTTGAAAGTTGCGTGAATTATGATTTTATTTTATCTAATTCTACCTCTGCTCCAAAAATCTTACTTTCTAACGAATCCTACTAAAATATCATGATTTTGATTTATTTGTTAGTTTGCTTGGCGAAATTCTTGATAGTGATCAACAACGAATGATGACGGAGGAGGCAAAGATTTCGCTGCGAAACAGCAAAAAGGATATCGTTGAATGATTTCGAACCACGACCGCCGCGGTTGCAATGCAATCATTGACCCATTCAACCACATCTGCACAAGTGGCATCGCTGTTTCTTCCCTGGGAACGCGCACCCTTTTAATGTGAAAAGTGATCTGCATCCAGATCGATGGCTCGCCGGACGCTGGTCTGAGGCGCCAAGAGATCAACTTAGGCCATTTAACGAAGCTTTACCAGGGGCCATATATTTTTTAGAATGGAGATGAGAGTGAGGGCTGGATAAGTAAGCGTAACAACCCATTCCACCTGCAGTTTAAGACGTCCTTCCATTTTTTGCGCTTTGCATTAATTGGCATTTCCGAAAAATTCACGACGTTACGAGAAAAATTGTTCTCAGGGTTCCTTCGTACTGCGCTGCAGGATGCAGCATGCGAGTACGCTCACGATAGCGCAGCTGAATCTTGCGCAATTCCCAGCAAAAACTTTACAAAATCCCATACTAGGACTCCGTAGTGCATGTAAAATCTGACGAAGCAATACTGCAAAAAGCTGGTACTTCATGAGTAGAAATAAACAAAATAGCGTATTGAAGTCGTTAATGAGACCGAATGAAGAATCATTCGATCAACGATGAGACAAGGTAAAGGAGAGAAAAGATTGCAGGCTGTGAGGGGACACTCTCGGAGAACACGAACGTGCAAATATAGAGATGCATCCATAACCGGCGAAGCTGTGCTGCCGTGAGCGTATTTTCGACTGCAGCGCCGTGCTGCGGCGTGCTGCGGCAGGCTACTGCACCTTACTGCGTGCGCCGCAGCACGCCGCGTTCCGCGGCGTAGTATGAAGGAAGCCGAATGACAAAAATGGTATGGCGGAAAACATTTCAGATGCTCTACCACCTCCTCCATCATATCAGACTGCCATAAGTGTGACATTTGGTAGGAATGCTGTATCTATGGTTTGTCCATATTGCTACCGTCAGGTAATAAGCTTCTAGCCGGTCGCATTACTTTGACCATATCAGGAGCGTTGCAGGTTGTTACAAGAACTTCTCCCAAATGTGGACCAATCACGCATTTTTTGACTCCTGCAATGTTCTTGCTCGGGTGAATGCTTTGATAAAACATATATCAATTAGGATGATGCAAACCTACTTATTTAGATGCTGGTTGTGCTTTCTCATTCACCTTTGTCTGAGATCATGCAAGGTATCCAATAAAGGCAATTCACACATACAAGTCGCTTCGTTTAGGATATCGAGCATGTTTGTCCAAACTGCGGCAAAATTCTGGGAATCTACCATAAGGGAACTTAAACACTCATCTCCAAAAACTTCTTGTCCTTATTAAGTTACTGATTGTCGATCCAATTAGTTATGTTAGCTTTTGCTCTATTTTGTTATCAAAAAGGTTGTTCCTCCCAACACATCTACTCGTACAACATGTTTTAAAGGGCCGCTATTTAACGACTTGACTTTGTTTGTATCACTTGTGTAACGGCTCTGCTCTTCATTTGACGGATGCAAAGTGATCAACTAAAGTGTAACATGACCACCCGTGTATAGTTTTCAAAATTCGAAGATTGCTGTTGGGTTGGAGTCCTGGAGCCAGTGCAAATGGCATTCCATCGTTTTCACCACACCCATTAGAGTTGCGATTTGGTTTTTTTTTACTTGAGACTAATTAACACTTTGGTACTTTTTCTTTGCCGTAAAGGTTTGTTATGGTAGTAACATTATTGCTGAGAGCGGACATCATTGTGACTGACTCCTTTCAGGCCTCTGACGACGCGGTGTGACCGAAACGCAAGGCAACAAAATTACTACCATAGCAAACCTATACGGCAGAGAAGAATACTGAAGTTGTCTACAACATGTCCAAGTTTCAATGTAAAAAAAACTGCAAGAGAATTAACACTAAAACCAAATTCTGCGTTCTGTCTTGCTTTCTCAATGTTTATCCTCTTAGAAAATTGTTATGACATCCAGAAAGGTTTTCAGTTTTATCAAGGGGAGAATTTCCGAATTTAATAAACAAATCATCTTTCATCTTTCTTATTCGCCTACGGTTGAACACACAACATGGCCGCGTTTTGGCATTCTATAAAATGGTGGACTTCCGTGCTCGGATGGCTTGGAGCGTTGGCTTCGTGGTTTCAGATAGTTGTAGGTGAGTTTCCAACGTCATTGTCTTCCCTCATAAAGGAAACGCTATTTTCAGTGCTAGGTTTCGGTAGAGAAGAGATACTCCAGTATAAATGGAAGTTTGCGGTATTCGTCTTTTTGTGGATAATAATCACTTGCTCATATTTTAACGCGGTACGAATACTGATCGTTGCGCTGTCACGACTAGCGTGATATGGAAGGATAAAATATAACGTGTGAATGAGCTAACAATGAGCATCAATCAGAGTCTGTGAATAATTGAAAGTTTCAAGAGTTTACTTCTTTACGTGGTGGATTTGTTCTCTGTCCATTACCCAAAAACACAATCGACTGAATGCACTTGTGCTTTGCCCAAAATGACAATCCAGAAAGTAGCCTACAATGGAAATACAAAATTTGCGCATTTATATATGTTCAGTTGTTGAAACGCTGACTTTAGACTTAGTTAATGCAATCCAGTTTCTGCGCGATTCGACGCTACCACTTGCGAGAGTCACAATTTTGTCTTTGTCCCGACTCAATTTGGCCTTCGCGTATAGGAAAGCGGAGGCTTTGGAAATGGCGGAATAGTCGTCTCCTCTTGATTGATTTGTGTTAACTGGTGCTCTTCTTTTACATGTTTTGTTCTTGCTCCTCTTTTATATTGTTTGTAATTATACATTGACACATTTATTTTCTGTAGCGTAGGCAGGTAGCCAAGAACGACTTTTTTCTCATTCTCAATGGCGCTCCTTGACTGTGCAGTGTCATTCATTCCTTTTCACATCCTTTTGATGTGTATATACTCAGACAATCGCCGGGGGCAGGCGGGCACCGGAAAAATAGATTGCTGATTTCTCGCACCCCGCTCGCGGATTTTTTGCAAAGCAAACAGGACTTTTCGGAAGACCGCTTGCTGAGTCAGCGGATTTTTGAGAGTCCGCCTGTTGAATTTTTTCGCTCTTATCTTTTGCAGATATATTGCTGAATCTCGGAGGAATCGAGAACTCAGCAAGCGGTCTTCCGAAAAGTCCCGATTGCTTTCCAAAAAATCCGCGAGCGGGGTGCGAGAGATCAGCAATCTATTTTTCCGGTGCCCGCCTGCCCCGGCGATTGTCTGAGTAGTTGTTCTCAGCACTTCCTCTTACATTTGGTAATCAAACTTGAATTTGAATTCTAAAAACCTTTAAAAACTCAAAATTCGAACGAGCAAACCGGTTGCGGTAGAACGCGGCATTCTCAGACGTCACTTAAAGCTTACGCATGTATTTTCTATTTTCTCTCGTCGTCGCATGCTCTTTCTAGTTTTCAACAATGTTTGTAATCAGAACTGGCGAGTTCGTTATTGTTGGGCGATAACACATACTACTATGCCCGTTTCTTCATCTCTAATTTCACTTAGTCTAAGAAAAATGAGGAAGATTTGAATTTTTGCTACTTATTAGGGTGTCTCATGATTTTTACCGTTTTTACTATAATCGTCGTCTTTTTGTACCTTTCCTTCATTTGATGTGGCTTGAGCATTCATTCGATAAAGCAAAGCAAGCTGTACAAGATGGCTATCAGAGTCTGCCCAAATCATAATCTGATTGAAGTTTTGAGCTGAAATCCGACGGCAGTCGAAAACGAACTTTGCCGTTAAAATCGTACCCCCGCCCAAAAAATCTCAAAAATTCCTCATTATAAAAATGTGCAAGCGACTTATTTTTACTTGTAAACAATTAAAATAATTTTTAAAAATACAAATTAGCCTTGTAAAAAATTTTTCGGGGGCGTGGCTATTGCCACGCCCCCGAAAAAAATCCGCCACTAATGTGTGTGTGTGTGTGTGTGTGTGTGTGGTGTGTGTGTGTGTGGTGTGTGTGTGTGTGTGTGTGTGTGTGTGTGTGTGTGTGTGTGTGTGTGTGTGTGTGTGTTCCGCAATAGATTTATTTCTGAACCGATCTGGACCAGACTTGACACGCGTACACCTCGAGCGGGTTCGGTGTCGTAGACAACTTTTCGTCATTCATATCGATTTTTTGCAGGGCTTAACTTACTACGAAGCTGGGATTTCGGAGGGGAGGGGGTAAGTGGGCATGTTGATTACGAAAATTTTATTGTCAGGGTGCGGAGCGTTTGCTAGCTAGCCCAAAATAAACTTAGCCACAGCTAACTTTGAAAGGTTTATACACTGTATAACGCGCTCATATACCCCTGTCTTCCTCACGAAATAGTGAGGAATGCTTTTTTGTAAATACAATTAGAAGTATGTAGGCGTCTTATAACATGAGACGTTCATCTTTGTTTGAGATTCATTCGCGACCGCTCAATGAAAATCTTCTCACCTTTATGTCATATGACCTTCAACAATAATCAGTACGGCCACTTCAAAACAAAGGTGACGCAGTGGGACGTTATAAGTGTCTCAAAATGTTTGAAAACTTCTTTAGGCTGGGTCCGTACTGATTCGAAAGTTGCGAAACAGTTCTGGCACAATTCTCGCACTGTGCGGGAACAATGCTGCGTGCGGTGTAGCCGCCCGCATGCGGTTTCGAGCGAGAGAGTTAGAATTTCTGACCGTTTTCAACGATTTTTCTCTAAGACTTCACTCATTTCGACCTCATTCCCTTACTCCGTTCCTCCTTGTGATGAGAAGTGGGGTTGAAGAAAGAACGCCTGTTATGTACCATGTATTCTAAAAGATGGGTCTTCGTGCGCTCGTCCATTCTTTCTTCACTTATTTTTGCTCAGACCTACTTCATGTACTTGAGTTCAGATGCGGAACTACGCAGCGGCTTCGTGGAACTCATGAACCAGGTCTGAACAAAAATAACGAGGAGTAACGGACGAGCGAGGATCTATTTTTCCGACTACATGGAGCAGAGCAATGTTCATTTTTCAACCCTTCTTCAAGTTCGCAGCTTTTACAATTACAAGAAGAAGCAGGGCAGAAGAATGAGACCGAAATGAGTAAAACCCAAGAGAAGAACCATTGAAAACGGTCAAAAACTTCTAACTGCCGTCGCTCAAAACCGCATGCGTGCGGTTGCAGCGCATTCAGCACAGCTTCAGCACAGTGCGACAGCTGTGCCGAAAGGTTCCGCAAATTCCGAATCAGTATGAACTACAGGCATCGATTAAGCTTACTTGACAGTGCTTGGTTACTTGACGATGACTCGAGATAACGTTCCTTCTGTGCTCATTCCTGTTTTCTCGTATTCGGATATTCGTATGTTCGAAGAGATAGCTTTCTAATTTTGCCATCGTTTAAAACTTGATCCAGAGCAAAGTTGACCAATTTGACCTAGAGCTAAAAATGCTCGCGCCTTACCTACATCTGCTCTCACAGCGGAGAAGAAAATGAGATAAACGTTTTGAGGAGGTCATGACAGTGTGTATCGTTGGAAAGCCAGCGGGTAATGACCACCTTCTCAGAAGTGTACAACGGCCATAGCGAGTGCTTTGATGACTCCTGATAATCCATTCTTTATCTAAATACAGATGTTCACTGTGCCTCAACCTGTTCCAAAGAAGTACCACATAGAAGAGCTATTTGATGAAGACGAAAAAAACGTTCGGATAAGGAAGAAAGCATCTACTTTGAATGTGTTTACGGTAAGCGACAAAATAATAAAGCAAAGGATTGAGACTGAGTTGCAATTCTAATTAGTCACTGAGTAGGCCAGCTCCAAAGCAAAACTTCTGCCCACCAGAAATGTCACGAACAGAGCATCAAGGTAAACACGCGCTGCATTCCTCATAGAGCGCATCTGTGCACCCGTACTTCGCCTAATATTAGTCTAGATCATTACTGGATGAATTTCAGCATTCGTATGTGCATACGCGTGATTGTCTATTTGAATGCTCTTTATTCTTCCGAAAAAAATTTGGGCATTCTCTGAAATCTTTCCATATTCGTAAGTCCAAAGTGCGAATTGTGAGCAGGTAGAGACCGAGATGTTGGCACTTCACGAAAGGACTCTTGAACCAATTGAGTGGGAAGGTTGCTTGCGAAGCGAGAAAATCAGTGAAGGATGGACCACCATTATGTCTGCAGTGCGCACACTTGAATTCCATTTCCTCAGCGAATTCCTCTTCAAGCATTTTGTATGACTAGCACAGTGGATACTGTGCATGAATTGCAACTTTTTGTTTGCCCCGACAGATTTGCGTTTTGGGCACATTTACGCTTCTCTGAATAAAAAACTTCAAATAAGACTTTTGGGAGTTTCCAGGCTTTGCATACTTGTTTGCGACCAACGCCATAGATGATAAAAACAAACTCGGCCACTCTTTGTGTGTGGAAGGGTATGTAGAATATGACTGTAGTGAAAAGTTTGACTGTTTCACATATATTTGCTAAAGTATGATGGGGGAATTGTTTCTTTTTTTGCTATGCAGTAAGGGAATCGTTGAACAATTTGGAGGGAGGGAGGGGGGGGGGGGTAAAGAGAGAGAAGGGTGTTTCCTCCTTAGCACTTTTCGAACGGCGCTGCTGCATCATCGAGTTAGCAACTGTTTCCTGCATTTCAAACCCCGTCTCCTTCCCGATATAAGAATGCCGTCGTAGAGGCACATGTGTACTCTCCAACATACCTTTCGGTTATGCGCCAGCTTGATATACTCGGGCGGAGAAGTAGCAAACAACAAATTATTGCAAGTCGGCACGGCACTGCGTACGTCGCGTACGACAGAATCTTCGCGCGGTCCGTTCCCGAGCTGGTGAAATTGCATTTTCGAAGAAGTCCCGCTGGTTGCAGGGGTAATGGAGAACACAAGAACTGATTAGGTAACAAACTCTCCTATCCTAAAAAACGAAAACTCTCCTTCCGTGATAGTAGCAGGAAAGCATGCCACACAGGTGCTAAAATCGCAGATTTGGTTACATCTTGGTTCGGAAAGGTTATTCAGCACCCTGATCACGAACATGGTGTTGATTTTGTAAAGTAACACAGATTGGTTCGGATCAAGACTTCAAATCTGGTCAAAGATATGTACCGTCACCCACGTACAGTGCACGAAAAGTTCTTTTAGGCTCAACCAAGATCATAGTCATGATTAGGATTATGAAGAAGCCCCTACACGAAGTTGTGAACATACATACATAAACATACACCCTCCTCAACAACACAAAGGCATTGTTGCGCGAGAAAAGCGTGATAATCGTGATTATTTTGTCAGAAACAGTAGCGCACCCCTTGAGAGAAGTACACGACTATGAAATTTCGGGGCTTCAGTTTTGGAGTAGTCTGTAGCTACCGTTTTATCATAAAATGTAGGGCCAATAGTCAATTGATGGACGATGTGAAGGTATAGGGGCCTGCAGGATCGCGAGAGTCGGACGTGCGTACGGCCACGCCGCGCACGTCCGATGTCACTAAGGCAGATGCCAGACTTATCCGCTTCAGCCGGTTCGTTCGGGTCAAAGGTCAAATCACTACACTGTCCAAAAGCAAAGGTGGTGAACCGAATGAACCTGTTCAATAGGATAAGTCGGCACCTACCTGAGTCGTCGAGCGCACATCTAACGTGCGCGCCGCAATGGCCGTACGCACGTCCGACTTCGCGATCCTGCAGGCCCTTATAGCACAAGAGCAGTGCGAATCACATCACTCAGCGCAAGTTTTCTATGGATTTAGTTTGAAATCATGCACGAAAAAAAGTTGGTGACGAGCGTCCTTCGCGCTACATATGGTTAGCACGACATTTTGCCGCGACTCCACGGCCCGAAACGTGTTAATCCACCATACTCTTGCTTAGTATATGCGTTCAAAGCTTGCCCTCAATGTACATGCTTTTCAAAGTTCACCTTCTTTGAGCCTATCTACACTTTGGAACGCTCCAGTCTCAAAAAGTTATTGCAATTAAGAAGGCAGATGAAGCCGCTTTCTGCTTCCTCCCTTAGTATGCATTCTTTCTCAATTCAACTGTACGACGCTTATCTATGGTTGAAAGAAAGTAGCTGACATAGATTCATCCATCAGAAAAATGGTTGTTAATGCGAATTGGAAATGCATCTTTGAGCCCACAAAAGCTGTAGGGTGAGAAATGTTAGATGTTCCAAGTTTTCGAAATTTTGAAGAAGAAGGGAGTCATGCAAGGGTTCCCCTCAAATCTTCACTTTTGGATCTACATCTAAATTCTAATTTCAGGTGAATTACTGCGAAACATGTCACTGTATAAAGCCGTTACGCACGCATCATTGTAAGATGTGCCGTCGCTGCGTACTTCGTATGGATCACCATTGTCCTTTACTGCAAGTAAGCTGTTCATACCTATTTGGTAATGATGGACCAGCAGAACAATAAAACGGAACACGCCGACTGTACCTTGATCGAAGATATCACGCTTTATGCGAATTAGGAATGAACTGGGATGAGTTAGTCAAACTTGTATTAGGAAAAGAGGATGAAATGTTGAAGAAAGGATTGGAATTTGGCGTCAGCATACAACTTCTAGTCTTTATTGCTTATGTGCGGGCGGCAGAAAAAGCACTATTACCGCTTTAACTTCAATTTTAGGGCCGCATGCATTAGCATCCTCGCCAGGGAGCGGATCGCAGCTTAAAAGAAAGCTTCATATCCTGAAGCTCTAGATGTCTAAAATTCACGCTGTCTACCTATCAGTAGGCATTTCCACTATCCTTCACTATGAACATATAGAGCAGAAGCTGTACAAGCAGCATTTTCCAGCTTTTTCTATGATCCCCTGATAATCTTCGGTGATCGACCGTTGTTTCTTCAAAGTCATTTTTCTTTCTTCAAAGTTAACAAAAACCTTCCAAAGTATATACTACTGTTCGTCTAACCCAACAATGCTAAGCATTCTGCTGATAAGAATAAATGAGCTTTAGAAATATCGAATTTATCGATAAATCCCAACTTTCGACTTGTGGTTCATCGCAAATTTCATGACTCCAGAACATCATCTGAACTTATCAGCAACATGCTACTGCTGGGTTAGGTAATCGGTACAACTTTGGAATATTATTGTTTACTTCAAAGAAAAAAATGACTTCAAGGTGGGCAGCGCGAATTCCAGATGACTGAGCTTTAGGATATGATTCTTTCTTTCAAGATACGATCCCGGAGGGGATGTCAACGCATGCGGCCAGAAAACGCGCATTTTTGGTTGTCTGTCTTGTGGGTCAATACCTTTCACGAATAAGTCGAAATTTTCTGGCCAAAATCACGCCGATCTCATCTATACTATACCAACATAAATTCCAAAAGCAGCCAAAAAACGCCAAGGTACTTCTAGAGTCAGAGTGTAAAAAACCTCAGGAAACGAAACGCAAAATTGTAATCCTTTTAACAAAATTCAAGCCATGACCCAGCATTCGGGTCACACTGTCCCACGTAGCACTCACTGCATGACCCACCATGTGGGCCGTTGCCTTCACTGTGTTAATATTAAGAGTGCTATATAGCTTATAGAAAGCTTTATATCCTAAAGCTCCAAATACCTGGATTTCACCTTGTCTACCTAACCGTAGGTATTCCTACTATCTTCACTATGAACATATTGAACAGGAGCGAGAAGTTGTGCAAGCCGCTTTTTTCAGCTTGTTGTATGATCCCCCGTTGATCCCCGGCGGCCGATCGTCTTTTCTTCAAAGACAATGAAAAGTGCCAAAGTTGTACTGATCATTTAATAGGCGAAATTATACATGCGGCCCTTACTCTTTTTCTCCGTCGCGCTAGCGCTGAGAAGGTAGTTCTAACTCGTATAATTCGCACACTATAGACATTCTAGATATGGGAAACATTATTACGCACAAGAAGCTAGATGTTCTTCTTATAGAGCTTATCTAGCTTGATGGAAAAAATCTGTAAATTCTAAAAAAGGATTTTCCTTCGGGTTTCTTTCTGCTTACCCCTATTCATTCAAAATTATCTAGTGTGAAAGACGAATTGCGCTGCAGCTGAAACAAATCAATCTGATGATTCCGCTTTTGCACACTTAGGTTTTCCATGTGAGCACGTTGCGATGTGCTCTGCTGAAATTTTCGCGTCGTGGGACCTCTTTCCAGTTAGTCGCTTTCAATGTTAAGCTATTCACTGAAATTGCTTCACCAACTCATTGACAACTGCATGACGCATGTTTTGTGTCATGCAATGAATAGCGCATGAGATTTGATATAAATGGTGTGTTACGGCTTAGATTACTTTAAAACTGAGGATCGCGTAGTATACAGACATCCAAGTTTTTTTTTTCACGCAGCGAATTCAAGTTGACTCCAATCCTAACGGTGAATTCTTCAAATCTACAGTTAATGCACAGCAGTGCAGCATACAAAAGTGTACAGTAGGCATCACAGTGAGCTACAGTGTAAATGACAAGCTGGCTCCCGGCCTCGTTCGGGTTAAGTGCCAGAAGTACGCATGATGTGGACTGCAGAAGCAGAACTGTGTCCTGTTCAATCACCCAGTTCTGAGTTCTCTCTCCCATGCTAGGGTCCACTGTAAACAATACTTACCTTCAAGCAGCTTTGCTTTGGGCAACCGCATGCTACTCACCGCACAATAGACTACAGCTGTGTTTATACGAAACAGTGGAAATGGTCCGTTAAGAATTGCTGAAAAAGTCCAATGCAAAGGGTCAAAAATTAATAGGCCGATGGAATAATGTCGACAACTCAGAAAGTAACCTCAGACAGTCTAGGGGTCAAACCGTAAGTGCAAAGTTCCAGCCTATTCGGTTGATGTGGAAAGGAGTCTATAAGGCACATACTCCATGTTTAGGCAAGTGCGTTGGGAAGTTCGCGGCCATAAATAAACTCTGGGCGCCTCAGTTCTTAAAATCTTAATCTGGCACCTCGCGGGCTTTGATTTTGATGGTGCGCCGCTGACCACACAATTTTTTTCCACGCCGCGATGCAGAAGTGATCTCGCAAAGGATTTATTAGGAAAGTCGCGGCCCTTAGAAATCTTTTCGGGTAGCTTGCGGGTAAAGAAGAGTGAGCTTTTAAGAAAGAATGTAAAGAAGCAGCCGAGTAAAGCCAAACCAGGAGTTCTGCCGTTCTTTGTTTTCATCCCTTTCAAGTAAATCAGACAATCAATCTTCATTTATTAATGTTCTGTCGTTTTACACATCTTCAAGGCATCATCAAAGTGATTAGTTTACCGAATCCTTAGTGATGAGTTCCGCAAAAAGTTGCAGAAAGCTATTTATTTTAATTGCTTTTATGTTCTCCGTATATGGAAAGGAACCGGTCGATGATCTGCTCTTACTTCCAGTTTGTTTGCCTCGCAAGTTTCTGCATCAGAAATGCGAAGTGTCTCCAGCTTCACTTCGCAAACAACAAATGTGTTGCAGGATCAGAGTGCGACCCCCGCTCGCGAAAACTTTTTTTGACACATACATGCAGCAGATCCCTAGAAGTCTCCATCTATCATCACTATTAGTCCCTTTGTCTCCGAAGCCAAAATGAGAATTGCTGACTTTTGTGATCTACAATCGTGAAGTCAGGTAGAAATCTATCTGTTATTTTGTTCACTCTTTTCTCTCGCTTACTTGCGGATTCATATTCGTCTTTGGGTTTTCTTTCTTTCGCTCTTCCAACATCTACAAGGTTGCTCTCTTTCCTAATTGTGCATGTTTACGAAATTAACCATGAGGCCAAATTATGATGTTGTCCTTTTTCATGTCTTTTAGCTTGAGCCCAGTTGCACAAAAAATGATAAATGTTTTTTCGTGCAACTTCAACACGCCGCTCGCCTTGTTTGTAACACTCGCAACGTTTATATCGACTCACAATTTAACGCTTGCTGTTTCTGCTATGTACCGTTTGATTCAACCAAATTGGCGGCTGAAGGCGACCGCTTGCACCCGCGACGCAGTCTGCGTCTCTCTCGCGAGCTGCTCTCTGGTCATTCTTTAGCCTCGATTACCTCATGAAGCCCCGCCTTCCAGCCGTCAATCCAGCTGGACAAAAATTGATTGATTATGAGTTCTTTTGGGCTCACTACATATCCTCTCGCGTCCAAAGGTGATAGAGTCCACGAGGACGCAGTTTCACACAAATGGAATTGGAGCGGTACTGAAGCAAAGAAAAAATTTTCAAAAAACAGAAAGCGAAGTGAGGTACATGTGCGCTGCCTTTCAGAGAGCACTGTAAGTTTCTACATCCAAAATTACAACATTTTCATTGCTATCTATGCAACTTAATCTAGTCAACCTCCTGATCAGCTGATCCGGAATTGTAGAACATAATGGGTTTTTGTATTGGATTTATGATTTTTAGCGTGTGTTCGGCGTCATGCAAATGATGTTGTGATAGCCACGTGCGAAAATCTGATATAAAATACTTTTTTTAATTTTCTGCGTTTTGTGAGGAAATGAATGCGCCTGAGGCGCGGTATCAATCGATGTCACTCAAATGCTATTTCGAGCAGCTATGCGTCTGTACTGCGAGGGCCTAGCGCGAGGCTCGGATCAACGGGGCGAGGTGAGCGCAAGCTATACACGCGCGAACGCGGCGCGAGGCTTTGGGTTTCAATTTGGCTATAGGAAAAGGGAGCACAAATTGGATACGGAACGTGAATGGGCTGAGGTTTGAGTGGCGTTTACAGTACCAGCAATTTGGGCCAGCCATACAATTATTTCGATTATACATCGGGTTTTCCGGCGGGTCAACTATTAGTGCACAGCGGGCCCTTTACTAGCGCGTAACATGCACTTACAGGGAGGGCCGACGGTCACTTACCGGGCCAATAGGGTTTAGGGGACAGATCGCGGCAAGGGCGATTAGTGATAAAACAAGCACCCACGAACTTTCCGATACAATACTCTGAGTGTACATACACGCAGTTTTTGTTTCCCTAAAATCCCGCCAATAAGTCCGGCCTTATCTGCATTTTTTGACACGAAAAACTGATAAAAAATCGCCCTCTGCGCTGCCAGAAGTCTAGCAGATCTGCTGCGGTCTGATGGGAGGATTCATCTGCTAGACTTCTGGCAGCGCAGAGGGCGATTTTTTATCAATTTTTCGTGTCAAAAAATGCGGATAAGGCCGGACTTATTGGCGGGATTTTAGGGTAGATATAGAGACATTAGTCGAGCCACATCCACTGCTACTCTAGGCATCTGACGGCTCATTCAAAGCATACAGAGGAATTTCAGTGGTTTCAGTAACTGTTTTGAATTGAATTTGTCTAGGTATGCATCCATCACCACAACCACAAATTCTTCCTTCTATTTCTTTTCTGGCCATGCACTCTTGGTATTTACGTTACTATAATCACAATTCCCTTCGTCTGTCGAACTGTACAGAACATCTGGAACGGAGCAGCGCTCTCATCAGAGCACCACCTCCTTAACAGTGCGATCATGAATGCTGTGGTAAGCGAATGACTGATAAGCCCCATTTGTAGCAGTGATTAATAAGGTGTCAAGGTGATAGCAATATCTGTTGGTTCCCTGTTGCGAACCCAAATTCAAAGCCTAATTCTGAATCGAACCACTATTGAAGATTCACAATTGAGTTTTATCGACGAAGATGAACTGGTGAGCAATTGAACCTCTCCACTCTAATCTACTTTACGACTTTTACAGAGCAATGGATTTTCGCTATTTGATCTAGAAACAAAGCTTAAGAATTTCTGCTCAATCTTTGGATCTTCTCCAACAACATGGCTCTTGCCTATATTCACTACGCCTGGCGACGGTATTAACTATCCGTATATAGTCCGTTATGGCAAAGAATTGGTGGGACAGGGCGGGCCACCTCGGAAGAAACGATTTTTCGAAATATGCTAGATGGAGTGGTCTTACAATGAACAGCTTCATTTTTTTCGAATTCTACGACTTTCTTAAAAATTATATTAATAACAAACTTATAATTGTACTCTTCAACAATGAAAAACTTTGTGTTGTACGTATTTCAAGAACTTGCTACCTTATCTGCAAAAGAACCCAGCTATTTTTTTCGTGTTTCACTCTTGAGTGGACTTTTCATCAGCAAATCACTACTTTTTGATTTGCCTGACACTTCACACATCTAATTTAATCCAATTTTTTGAGTGCAAACCACCTTTCACTACCGTTCAATGCTGACAACTCCTTGGCCTCATCCTCCTTCCACTAGAGATTATAGGATAGCCGGCCACTCTTGCCCCTTCGATAAGCTGCTTTGTTGGTAAACTAAGCCGTATCTCACTCTTGTTCGGCCTTGCCTTCATCTCTGCGCATTGTTTCGTATCATCCCCCCCCCCCTCATCTCCTTCCTTCCCTCTCACACACACTTCTTGTAACGGCAAAATCTTTTCCTCCGTCCCGCCTTGCTTTAGATCGCCGCATCCTGCAGAGCGAGAATGAATCGGTCATCACTATCTGTTCGCTTGTTAAAACGTTTCGACAATGACTGATGATTTTTAATACTTCTAAAAGTAAGCCAACAAACAATAAATAGTCAAAGAGGTTCACTTAATTGCCTCAAAAAGGTCTACGTCTACAGGTCTACGGTAACCGCTGTGGTCTATCTGAAAGCAGCAAAGTTTAGCCCAATCGGTCTCCTAAAAATGATCTCAATAACGAGCTTACTTATTGCACATGAATATTATATGTAGGGGGGAGCAGTTTGTGACTTGATATGTGAGCTCGCACATTGCGCATGGCAACTGACACACCTTACTGGTAACTCGTCAAAAATGCTTTTCTAACGGAAAATGTTAACTTTGTACTACTACCCAATACATATTCGTTCCAATCAGAAAGATGAAAACAAGGAGAAATCCCGGGAAATCAATAGCTTCCTATCTCACAAGTCGTGAAGCAGCGTAGTGTGCAACACGCATATCTCTTTATATAAAGCGCATCTCTCTATATAAAGCGCAAGATGACTGAGCGCCATCCTGTAACGCCTTCCCCTCTTCCCTCGCGCAGCGATGGGTTGGAGACCCGTAAGTTTGTCGCTGCGTGCCGGTGCAGGCGTACCAAGCTGATGTCTCATCATATTGTCGCTGCCTGTGTTAGATGGTGTTGATCGAAACCCCTAACTAACAAAGTGCAATCATCAAATATCTAAATACAACCAATGCTAACATCATCGATTAGAATCATTCACGCCATACGACCGATGGGTTCAAGATTGCGAGGATCATTGCAATTCGCCAGGTTGCCATTAGAGCACTCAGGAGAAGTAGGTAGATTTAAATCATGTGACCCAAGTGCCAAGAATTTCAGGGAAATTCAGCCGCTATGTAACTGTGAAACTGTGATTTTCGAAAAAGGAATGTCAAAAGGGGCTGGAAGGTTGAAAAGGCATGTCCAAAGGGGCGAGAAAGAAAAATTGAGATTCAAAGAAATATGGAGAATAATCTGAATATCGGACGCCTGAAGGGAAATTCGGGCCTTCACTAGAAATGGTAGAAATCACGAGTTGGGGGTTCCAGCAGATGAAACACTGAAAAAGGCCAGGAAAAGTTACAGTTTTCGTTTTGGTTGCTCAGGCTGATTAGAGTACGGAAGAGGAAGTGTGATTGGGAGAGGGGTAGCTGCACTCTGCCAAAGCTTTTATTTTCTTCCGCGAATTTGGTCTGTCAAAACTAGTTATTATAAATCTATGAGCTTTACTGACAAAAGCTTGACGCTTTTCTGTGTTCGAAGATTACTGGAGAGAATACTGTAGTGGAATAGCTAAGAAAGAAGTTAGAGAGCCAAGGCCACCTGAATCAGGCTTTAATGACACCCTGATGGAACGTCAAAGCTGGGATGACTACGCATGGTTAAAGGTACAATAAGTGCATGCGGGAATCCTGGGCACTTTAGTAAAACCTTCCCAGAAGAAAAGAAGTTTTGCTAAATAAGCTTGTGAGAATAGGAAATAGGGGATAGGGGAGCAGGAAGGAAGGGGAAAGCCTCAGTTCAATTAGGCAAAGAAGTCCTTTAATTTCTTGTAAGGAGTTAAAACGAGCGTACTCCTAATTCATTCCAGCTGTGCACAGGTTCCATTTCAAACACTAGGAGCTTCCCACCACTTTTCGAAGAGCAAGGTGACTAAATCAAATTTCACGTCCCTCCTTGCGACGGCTACACATGTCGTCTCAGGACTGCGATAAGCGAAACCGTCACCCTGCTAAGGGGTTATATTTATATTCTATGGGCAACAAACCGTAGGTCTTACCAAAACTTCGCTTATCAAAGTCGTCGCCAGCAGCAAATATTTATGGAATACAACGCACTACTTTTGGCTGGGAAACAGCAAACTTTGGCGCACATCCCACTCCACACACACGGCCAGATTCTTATTGTCACTGTATGTTCGGATTTTTCACATATTCTTGCATGCTGATTATATGTATCTGCTTCTTATATTAGTTACAAGCTCTCCAAAAATTGGACTACTACCTTCATCTCTATCGGAGATATGCCTTTTGGAACGGAGCGAGCGTTGGTGGCGAAGATGCACGAGGAGAGGATGGCTAACCAGCAGATTCCCCATATTTTACAAAATAGCGTCTTTTCTACCTTGCGTCGTTTGCAGGATATGAACAATGCAACAGAACTGCTGTAAGAGTGATAAATTGGCTACTGCAGACACTCACAAAATTCTGAAGATCGTTCGCCAGCGCCATCGTCGCAATTCTCGGAAAAGCTTAATTGAGCTGGTTTCAAAGCTGTTCATCTCTGACAGAAAAGTCTCTCTTCAACATCGTGGAACAATGCCTTGGGATGAAGCATTTCAAGATGCTAATAATTCATGCTTTTTGGGAAGATACGAAGCTGATTTGATTGCGCGGATGCCATCGAGTGCCTGAACGTCTCTCCAAGGCACGCTACCAAACATACTCTGTTCTGACGTCAGAATTTTCACCGTGAACAGGTTTTTGATAACCAAAACAAGGAGGTCATCACCTAAACGCCTCAAGAAGCCAATAGCAAGGGTTGACTTGCAGAAGGAAAGCTTCATCCGGTTTTTGCGACAATTTGTGCCGCGATCGCTTCCGACAGCAAAGTGCCGCTTATTTTTTGGGTTTCAGTGCTCAACGTGGACACTGCCACATATGTGAATAGCATCCTGAAGAAACAATTGTTGGCCTGGACCAATATCCTTTTGCCAGGAGCGATTGGTGTCCCCAGCAGGATAGCGCACCCGCGCACAATGCGATGTTTGTTCAAGCAATTGGCTCCAAAGCAACATCAAGGAGTTCATTACTTCTGCGGAATGGCCTCCGTATTGGCCGAATCTGAATACCCCCGACTACAGCGTGTGGTCAGTTCTTTAAGACAAAGCCTGCGCACACTCACGCAAGACTGTGGAGTCACTGCTACGTGCTCTTCAGAATGCGTGAGAGGAAATCGACATGGAGTACCTCCGTGCCGCCGTGGACAGCTTTCCCAAGCGTCTTCGAGCCTGTGTTCGCGCCAAAGGAGGGATCCTCGAAATGTAAAGTTGCTTTCATATAGTAGACTGTTTGATAAACTTTATATATTCATTTCATGTAAATATGCTGCGTAGTTTCGTGACTACGATTGAAATACCATTAGACTTTCGCCCAGCACTTTAGAATGTAGATATGCGAAAAGCACTTGGATAGAAAAGCTTTATTTCGTCATGGAATATCAAGAAATCGACGTTGGATCCACTCCGGAAATGAGACAGACTTCAGGCAAGGTTTTGTCGATGTGCTGAAATTCCACAAATCATCAAACTACCTTCACACGCTATCTGATACTGGTTCGCTTGAATATTCTCAATTTGACAAGAACTGAATTATGAAGGCATTAACCTCATACAATTTTAATCCAAAATTCACTATCGTATCCAAACCTATACTCGTTTGACTCTCTCCCGATTTTAAATGTTAAACAAAAGTCACTTTTATAAATGAAATTACATGTGCCGAGGCAAAACGAGTATAACTTACCCAAAGAGGATAGAGCAGCTGAATCTCCAACCAGCACGGTGTGGAAGTTACATCTTGCCTTGGGTAATCTGGTCCCCATCCTTAGCGAAAATTTTGAGATTTTGATTCTAGCAAATATATAAACACCGAACCTTTTACGAACGACAGCCGTATGAAGCAGACTTTCTGCAATGCGTGTAGCTCTTCGGCGCCTCTCATTTTGGCATTTTGTAGCATCTGACAAAATTAGGATGAAAATTCAGTGATAAAATTACCAAGCAAGGAACCAACCTGCTGAAAGACGATATTGCTAAACACGCATATAGCAGCGCTATGAGCAGGCACTCGACATACTGTAGTCTGTTCTTGGTGCATGTTGTAGTTAAGATTCCGCGACTGCACAAAAATCGATGACTCGGAAAGATTCTGGATGTAGAGATCATAGTCGCTTGTGTACACCAGGCTAATTCCTGAAAACTTTTCCACTTGCCAATTCGTATTTGCTGAAGCATATATACCTTTCCCTATGTGTCGCCGAGTATTCTCGATAGTAGGGTTCCTATTGACATTGGAAAGAAGTCCGAGGCATATGCGATCGTCGGAGTTAGGATCCGTAAAACCGTCCACTATCAACTCGTTTTTGTACACCTAAATTCACAACTTGCTCAAACAATCTTTCTCAAAAGTGACGAGCAGATTATCATCAAAGTCACTTCACGACTTGAAAAAAACTCCGGAGCTATAGAGCTGTCGTTTCATAAAAGAAATTGAGCATGCCTTTATGAAAAGATATTGAGAAGTTGATTATGGAGACTTCGAAGAGAAAATTTGATTTTTTTTAAACAAGCTACGGAAATCAAAATGTACCTGTTCAAAGTTGTCCGTCTCAAACATTTTACACACTTTATTGAAGAAAGCGACCACACAAAACTTTCTTCCCTAGGTTTTTGTCATTATGGGGCATTCCCGTGACCCTGACTACAGTTATGAAGTTCAAATTGTCCGAAACCCGCAAAAAAAACCGATTTCTGAAAGCCCTATCCTAAAGGCACCAAACGACAGTACATAAGTGGAGGAGCTCGATAGTTGGGCGTGGCTTGATAGCCCTTTCGCTGTTCCACGTCCATTACCGCATTTAGAGACAACATTAGAAGACAGAACCAACGCTGATGCTCCTCTCCTGGGGCCCACATTCAGGATCGGCACATCGTAGGGTGTTAAAAAGCTTGGACAATTCTTTTTGAAATCAAAGTGCTCAAAAACTGCTCAGATCATAGTTGAAACGAGAGTAATTCTGTAACAAAAGTATGGAGCTGTTTATAAATATAGCGTCAGTAATAACTAAGGTAACACCTTATGTTAAAGCAGGATCATTGCTACTAATTGAAGAATGCTATACTCTCTTGCATGCGTACTTTTTTGAACAAACTTTTTACACATAAACACTTGTGATTGTATACAGTGCGGAAACAGTACTATCTCCTCTGCCTCCTGGGAACCTCACAGATAGAACAAATTTATAGTTTTTTAATTGCTACATGTTGGCGAGATCTTGGAGATTAGACTAAGATGAATTTGATTTAGAACGGTCTTTTTTGTCCATTTAAACGAGAGGTAACAGCGAGCAGGATCATCGATGATGCGCAGCAGCGTTTGAGCCCAATTTTGATTTGTAATAAGAGCGATACTATTTCCAAAATGGGGCAGTATGTCAAGCATAATCTTTTCTTCAAAACTCCATGGTTATTTTGAATCAGTGATGTGAGATTTTGGATAAACAAGTAAAATTATATCGCAGAGGAATTACCGAAGTTCTAGAAAAGAGGCCAGTTAACTCTGCTATTAAATGAATTGGATCCAAAATATAATCCAAAATTCCACATTCAGACAAAAAGTAACAGGCATAATGAAAAAACATCGGGCAATGTTTGCTTCCACGATTTTGGGTCGATAAATGAGTGTACGTAGTCTCTTTGCCACTTTTCTGTCGCACCCTGTTGGCCCGCAGCAATTTTACTGTTAAACAAATTCACAACTTTTCTCTTAGTGAAAATGCTGACTGGTTTTTTTCAGGATAGAAGTCACTACCATTTCCTTAGACAGTGGAAGATTTCTCGAATCCACCTTGGGAATAGAGAAATTCTTCAAAAATCTTCACATTTCTTCACATTTGTTATGAGGAGCTGCGAGATTCTATATGGGGTGCGTTACCAGAGCTCCTCCACCGGGGAAAAACTGCAGAATTTTAAGGTTAGTTTTTGTAAAATGCTAGAATGTATTCACATCTTGGAATTTATGTCGAACTCACCAAAAAAACGTGGGAATTAGGCTGATTTCATTTACTTTTCTTTTGAAGGACAGTATTCTATATTCCTTACATACTCCAATTGAAGTACTGATGAGTTATTGGGTATTTTTCTGTTATCCGGACCCATTTTTCCAAGCTCCCATAAAATGCGTTCTTCAGTCTAAGAACAATTTTTTATGGATTCCACGAGGACTGCCTCTCTGCCAAGTGTCAGAAAAATATTGACACATTTTGGTCCGTTTTGACATGTTTTTTTCCTTCCGGTGAGGTAAAAAAGCATTTGCGATCACCTAAAAGCCGTTCAACTATTTTGTATGAGAGCAAAACAATCTGAAATTTAACATGTTTTCCATGTTTAACACGTAAATGACATGTCAAATTTTTTTTGACACGTGGCAGAATGTTGACACTCCTTCCTGTGAAGTCGGGACCAAATATGGTTTGAGGGAAGAAGCGATATGCTTCTTTGAAAAAATGGGTCCGGATAACGGAAAAGTACCAATTATTGCATACTATTAACTAGAGCTGTGTTTTGGTTTGATAACTGATGAATTATTTGTGATTTTTTAGTCACCGCATGCAGAGTCAGATCAATAGCTTTACCTTGAAATATTCGCCAACTCTGCTGTTTAACTCGTAGTAAGATATGGTAGCCCAGTATTGCGTTGGAGGAGAAGTGTATGGGCTAACCTGAAATATGCGCATTCACCATTACGTATAATAAAACCCAAATTGAGCTCACCTGGTCCATTCGATTGACATCCTCTTCGGAAAGCATCGATGAAGGACTGAAGGCCATGTCGTATTCAGGAGAGCTGGAGGACGAGGGCACATTTGACGGAGACGCCATGTCCATCCGACCAGAGCATGAAGGTGACGAGCCAGCTGTTGATACTGGAAGGAAGAAAGGGTTAATTAGGCTATAGTAAAATGAAGAGCTAGTTACCGGTAGGCGAGGGGATCGGGGGAGAATAGCTGAAGTGGGCATTCTGAAAGAAGTAGATTCCATATAGTACAGGAAATAGGACCCACTTACCCGTGACTGATCCAGGCGTTGATAATGGTACGGATTTATGCATACATATGGAGTTTTATTGTTGTGATCATGTGGGTAGAGGCATTCGGGAATGGGTCTCAGTTCCTGATGAGACTGTAGATCGGGCCAGCGCCATACTCGACAATAAATCACATGTGGGAGCCCTTTCCGGTGGGATACCTTAAACACGCCATTTTGACCTATAAGGTTAGCTCATCTTGGTTTGACCAACCTGAAGGCGACCATCTTGGCTTTTTGGCAGAGCGACACATTTGGAATGTGATCCTGGATGAGACAAAGCATATTCGAGATCTTCCAGAGTCCCTGAAACCCAGAATTCTTTTACCTAGATAGTGTTAACCATAAATTTACGGATAACTAACTGTTTTGCACTGACCGATACCTCCATTCTTCTTTTTCAGCTTTTTAACAAGAGTTTCTACAGCTTTTTCAGCGAACTTCTCCTCTTCTTCGCCAATTCTCCAGCCCAGCAGCTTTTTGACCGATGTTCCGTTAAACAAACCATTCATCTGCAAACAATAGTACTTTGTACTGGGACACTTCAAGTTGTGTATTCGTGGGGAGGAACAAATCACAAGTAAACAGAAACTTGATTAAGATGACGCAAAATAGAAAAGTGGAGAACAAACAGGTCTTTTTTGAAAATTACCACAGTTCATGTATTGGGTTTATGACTCAAAGCAAAAATGAACAAAGTATACAAAACTTTTAAAAGAGAAGAGTCTTTCTAGAGGTTTAGGAAAAAAATTCTCCGTAAAGCAAAGCTGAACAACAACTGAGACGTTATTTCTGGTTGTTCTATCCTCAAGAATTAATCTTATTCAGCTCCAGTCGCACACTTTTCCCTATTCCCCTACTTACGCACTACGACCTCAACTGAACAAACAAATATGATATCATGAGAGTGTAGTTCCACTTTAGAACAACACGGTGCCGTGGTAGAGTGACACACCGGAAGCGATAGTTTACTCTCGTCAACAAAGCTGGAGCAGTTGGCTACTAAAAGTGTTTGAAAATTCGAAATGCACAGGATACCGAAGCATCTACGCAAATATGTGAATCACACTCAGTGGGTGGGTCGATGAAGAATACCCAAGATTGTCTTGGGTGCCAGCTAAAGAACGTCGATTCATTAGCTTGCGAATATAAATGGTAGAATCTTTTTTAAAATTGTCACATTCGAAATAAATTATACCCAAAACTACCACATCCTCTTCTCTATTTTTCTTCTCACTCTGATGATTCGCGAAAACATTACACATTCGTTTCCGCAGAAAGAAACCACTCACAGTGTCCTTATTTCAACCAGATAAAGTAAATATTAGATACTTTGCTTTTGATGCTGTCCGAGAGCCACCAAAATCAAAATTTTCAAACAAGGAGTAGGCTTCCTGCGCTACGCGATGTGCCGTGCTGAGTTTGAAGAAATGCAAGATCTTTCTAGAGTTCGGCTTACACTTTACTAAGTGCCTCGAAAACATTTCCATCTGCTTCCTATGATTACGCTGATCATATAGAAGATAACAATGAAAAATCAAATGATAAAGAGCAGCTTTCTAATGTGCCCTTACTCCCATTTGAAGGAACTCCCATTTGAACTACCATGAAAATGAGTTAAGAGGAAAGGTGCCATCCCATATGTCAGGCGACGCGATAAAACAACCATCACAGGCCCTAGCAAATTTGATGGTAAAGGTTTTTCAAACAAGCGCGTGAATAGATGTAGCAGATAAGAGATGTACAAGTAAAAAGAACAAAATTGAGCTTTTGGCATCGTACAATACCGATATTTGGAATATCTTCTGATCTAGCGCTGGTGGAGGATCGAATTTGCATCGGCTGCTCCAAGCTTTCATAAACTTTCCAGTTCTTTTTCCCCTTTTACGCCAGAATTCGGTTTTTGAACTGCTGTCTTCATTTAGAAAACGATATGAGTTTCCTTGTCATACACCTATACATTATGTTCCATTGTTCATGCAAGATATAATGAAACACAATTGCACCATCGCGAATTTACGTTGTTTTCTGACAAAATATTCTGACATTTTTAAGCACAAGCAGCAACAACTCAACTAATGTGTTTTCTTACGTTCTATTCAGTTTTGATTAATAACAAAGAATCCTTCCTATTTTTGATTTAACTGGATTGGTGGCTGGAAGGCGGGATTCTGTGATCTAATTAAGACCGCTCGCGCTAGCGACGCAGTGTGCGTCTCTCTTGCGCGTGCTCTCTGATCATTCTCTAGCCTTAATTAGGTCACGAAGCCCCGCCTTCTAGCCGCCAATCCAGTTGAATCAAAGGGTAAGTATTCAAGCCAATTTGGAGAGTTTTTTCACGTTTAGCCGTGGCTTAAATCTTGGTCATTTTGAGATAAGGAGAAAGAATTACAAAATCAAATAAACTAAACAGGCATGAACTTTTGGAACGGAGGGAGAACATGGGGCGGAAGCCCGTTTGAGGTTATTTACTACTAACAAATAGCGTCCTGTTAGTATCCAGTGAGGTAAACGGTGGGAAATTGCGTGGAAACACATTGATACTAATGGGATCCGATTTGATTAGGATGCGGTACCAAATGAAAAATAAGTGAATGAATACTGAAAGGTCTAGAAGGCACTGCAGCTGCTACTTCTTCACATCTCAGTGCTGATACCAGAAGATGACTTCCTCTCGAGTTCATTCGACAGTCAAAGGAGAGAAAAAACCGATTTCCGGCAGTTCCAAGTTTGAAATAATGTGATAAATGGTCAGTAACGAGATAAAAAAGTGAAACGGAAATGCTGTGGAAGCGACATGGAAGTTCATGTGGTTTAATACTAGGTTGCCTCGAAAGTTCTGCCGCTTCATTTTTGAAAATTTGTAGCTTTTGCCATTTTGACGGATTTGTTTCCTTTTCATTTTTTTGAAAGAAAAAGTTTTTCTCTTTGTAGTCGTGTCTCGACTACCTTCTAATGTTCATTCGTTGCAGAAATAAAACTGGAACTGATGACCACTTGAGCTTTGACCATTTCAACATGAGTCGCCAAAAATCTGAACGCTGCAGAAAAATTTGAAATTTCCAGTATATAAGTTTTATGATTTATTCTCTGCAGCTGAGAAATAATTGTTCTGTTTGGACGTCTTTAAAAGTCATATTTTCGAGTTTACAATGGAGAACGCAAAATTAAATTTTTCACTATTCTTGATAACCATATTTTTTCATTTGAAGCGTCTAAACCGCACAAACTTTTCACGTTTGCATAGGGTAGGTCACAGAACTTACGTACTGACGATTTCGGATTTTTCTGCAACGTTCCTGATATTTGGTGGAATACTTCGAAATGATCAAAGCTCAAGTGGCCCTTCTTTTTCCATTTTATTTCTGCAACGAATGATTACCAGAAACTCGAGGAGATACCTTTACAAAATCTGATGAGATTAGAAAGAAGCAGATCCGTTGTGACAGCAAAAAGTTACAAATTTTCAAAAATAAAACGGCAGAACTTTCGGAACAACCTAATAATATTTGAGATATTCTACGAAAAGATGGTGGAAAATAAAAGAAAATTGGGGTAAAAAGGTAAAAGTATTATGCAGCGGTGGAGTCCTACAATCCGATTTCATTTTCTCTTGATCAAAAAGTGAAAAGTACAGTGGAAAAAGTAGAGGAGAAGGCAGAAGAGATGCTAGCAATCTGGGACATGTTTGCTATCCGATGAATGCGTCAATATGGCATTTCGCATAGGGGCAAGGGCAAAGACATTGACATCTGACTGTAAGGACAACGACAGCGGTCGTCGCTGACAGCAGAGCGAACGAAGCGAAAGAAAAAAACTGCGATGAAAGTGCGCTCTTGAAGTAGTATTAGCAAACAAAGAAGCCAACAGAGAATGCCGGAAAGTCAAGGTGAACAGCCATTCTTTCGAAATAACTTGTGTTGGTCCTGGATTGTAGTGAAAGCCAGAATTTGACGTTGTGTAATAAAATGGTGAAGAAAGAAAGGAAGATAACAAAATAACTGACTGCTATCTTGTCCACAAATCACAAACGGCATAGACTATGAACCTGGCTTTCAATTTTGTGACTGCCTATATCTGCAACCCTCAGCCAATCACTCATAAGTAGAAGAATTAATGGTGTAAGCGAAACAGTGGGGAAAGAGTAAGACAAAAGAGCATGGCACAAAACGCAAAAAGGCATAACGCAGGAAACCTATTGAAATTTCGGTGGTCACTTCCAAATTTTCCACTGAGTATTGGCAATAGAAATTTGAATTTTGAAGGTGTAGCATAAATGATTAATAACGAGATTTTCGAAATATTAATGACGCAAAAAAACAAATGAATATAAACCATTGAATTTCGTTTATGCTTTTCACTCCTTGATTTCCGTGAAAGACAGAAACAAAGGTAGTGCTTTTTTATTCTATTCTGAAAATTAAGGAGACTGAGGCTGCGATAAAATGTGCCTACCGAAAGTTATTGCAGATCGTCTTGAGAAAGAAGAAGAAAATCTGAGCAACAATATTCTCAGCTGATGTGGATCTCTAGGATTTTGTTGATAAGCTGTTGAGCCGTGCACAAGTGGGTTACGATAATCATGTTAGATCTCACCGACACGTGTACAATATCAATACCGAGTTACTGTAGCTATTAAATTGTAAGAATTTCAACTTAGGTTGAGTTTGAAACATAGACATTGGAAGAATCTTCCAACCGCAAGTTACTAATATTAATACTTCTGTTCTTTGAGACAATTTAAGTCCTTTGCACAGCATCACAGCGCTCCTTTTGTTTTGAAATTTGATTCTAGGTAACCCTCCGGATTGTGAGTAGGCACTATTAACTTACTATTTCACAGTCGCTTACACAACATCGTTGAAACCGCAAAATTTTCCCAGTTCATCTCATGTCAATTAATTTAGGAAAACAGAGAAAAAATTAGAGAAAAAAAATCAAAAAAAAAATTAATCTGATATCTCAGATTATTTATTTGATACACATAGTGCAAGGTGGATTTCATACTTTTTGCATCCCGCGTCCCCCCCCCCCTCCCCTTCCCCCACGTTACCCCTTTCAAAAATCACACAGAGTTGCCGGATTTGGTCCGCACTGCTTTAAATCTTCTGAAGATGTAAGATGCGAATAAAGAATTTTTCAAGTTTAGAACAAATTACCTTACAAGGGTTAACATTCTAGAATGGAAATTGCTAACGCAGCATGATTTTATCATTGTCAAAAAACTGCATTAGTCAGATGAGGAGAGAACGTACGAATCAGATCCAAAGACTTCAAAAATAACAGATGAATGAATAATGGAAAAATGAGAAAATCACATGATGGATAGGATTTAACGAGCGATAAACGAACTATGAAGTTGTGCAAATGAGATAAAAGAGCATCACGAAAAATAGGAATCATGTATCACAGAAGAGGAAGTTTCATTTAAGGGATGCGAGCCATAACTGGAAAAAAGATGGCGAGTTTCCAACACCAAAATTTAACTATGGACAATGAAATCATGAGAATCGAAGTGCAAAAACAGAAAAGTTCAAAATGATAAATGGGTTGAAATGTCTTAGTACTTCGCAGTAAATTTTCTTGGGAGTTATAAGATTGTTACTGTTGAGAGGTCTAAAAACACAAACCTTGGGCTCTTCAAACGTTGAGTTAGGACTACGATTGAGAAATACTCAATGAGTTCGAGTGAGTAAATCTGGCAGCTATCGATTTAAACGAACGATGAGAGCGGCGATTTTAGTGATAAGCGCCATAGCAAACTCCGCGCACTGTTCAAACGGAAACGTCGCAGCGGCGCAAACGGCCGTTGCGGCGCGGACGTGACTCAATGCCGAACCCAAGGACACGGCCGAAGACAGATGTCCTTTGCCGTCCACGCTGGTCAGCGATGAAAATCGCGGTGACATTTGCCAGTACTACAGAAAAACTGAAAATGCAGCTCAGATAAAATTGGGGGTGCATTCGTTATTCCAGTATCCGGGTCGATCTTGCTCAAACTCGGTCTAAGGCCCCGGACAGACTTCACGCGATTTTATCGTCGCGACTGAATCGCGACGAGACAACTGTTACAACATCATTCCGTGCCGATCAACTTGCATTTCGGTTGTGATACTTTTCCAGCCCAAATTTTTTGAATGTGAAATGAAAATGAATGGAAATGTCGGCGATTGAGTCGCGACGATCAAATCGCGTGAAGTCTGTCCGGGGCCTAAGGGGTTATTCTATTTAGGGAATGCCACAATCTTATCAGTTTTGCGCGGGAACGCCGTTTTCCGGGATTACGATGTGTATACGGTGGGCGTCACAATCATGAATTTCGCTAAAACTTAGCCTAGGGGGATTATTGGATCACTAATACCACACTCTTTCCGGTGAGGCCTTTTTGTGAAGTAACGGTAGGTTTACGGTAGGGGGAAAAATAAATTTACGTGGACTTCTGTAATCTAAATTGGCCTGAAACGCGAAAAAAATGCCTGATCCATAATCCGCAAATTACCGTAATCCCACAATAAGGCATTATCGCATTATCGCGAGCAAGCATGATAATCTTAGTCAGCATGTTCAAAAATCCTTCTAGGCAAAGTTTCAAGAACATTCGGAATTCGACCCATCTACGCTATACCCACCGTAACCCAAGGAAAGAGCGCATCTTTGAGAAATCACATGATATCCATATTCAGCGAGCTAAGTCCCCCAGGCGAGATTAAGAGCAAATTCCTGGCTTTGACCTCATACGTTATACCTACCGTAACTCCAAAAAAGGCCGCCTAATGCACAAAGAGTTTGATATTCGCGATTAACACGTCAGAAGACCCCGCTAGACTGGATTTCAGTCGAATTCATGCTTTCAACGAGTCCATGTAAAGCCTTATCAGTTCGAAAAAATCAGGCGACTTAAGTCGATTTTCCGAGTTGAGGAGCCTATTTACACCCTATCACCAGACAATCACACGTTCAACTACTTCTGCACAGACCCACTTTTTTGAAATCAAGCGAATTCGAGCTTTGTATGGATCGTGATCAAATGCATCAAAAAGCTTGTGTTCAAGATCAACGTTTATTCTTCACGTATTTTTTGAGAGCGAGTTCTGTCGTGAGTGTAATATACTTTAGAGCAATCATTTTGTTCTCTTCACTACCACTTCCATACGCTTCCTTACATAAATTCCACAAAACTACTTTTACACATTAGCTTTAAGGTCACCATTGCTACAAACGTATCTTGTAAACAAAGCAGTAAAAGCTATGCAGCAAAACTCAACAAAAATCTCCTTCAAAGTTCCTTATAGTGATGGTAAAGTTGCACACCATCACGAATCGACATCGGTAAGGAAAAATGCAATTGTATAAGCCATAGCGCTCACTAGGAAAGGATACCAAGTCGCAGTAACGTCTGAAGAAACGAAGTATACATCTTGTAAATTTTTAGATGCTGTTCTCATATCTGACCTCGGTATCTGTGCGTTTGCTGAAGGAGTTATAGAGAACTAGTTGGCAAACCCGGCTCCGCCCGGCCCTGTCAATAGCATATTTGTAAATCGGCATGCTCGATTACCCCCCTGTGCCAACTCCCAGCCCCATAGGTGATCTCTGCAAAAAAATCGATAAAAGTCGATAAAATCGATATCGATCGATAATGAAAAGTAGCCTATGATACGCTCCCCGCCCCGAAGTGTATGTGTGCCAAGTTTGGTCCGAATCGGTTCAGAAATAAAAATTTTTATTCCGCACATACGTACATAGAGACATACATACAGACACACATTCAGCTTTATATATTTGAATTTTCCAGCGTTGGGAGGCGGGTCTTAGTATAGGGCTATATCTGCATACATGTGACATGAAAAGGAGAATGGTTTGAGGCTTTCAGTACGAAGCGGTAGGTATTGCGTTCGAGTCTTCCACATGCTCACATGCTGCACCTTTTGCAACATTGCCTATTACGCGCAGGTGATCTGTTAACAGTCTAACACATCAAAGCAACTTGCCTAGCTTAACTTTGAGTTCGTTTCTATCAAGAAAGTTATAGCCAAAACACAAATAGTGCAATTAGAAAAGCAAATGTTTTATAGCGCACGTCAAGGGCTACATCAAGCTATGGTTCCCTCCAAAAAGACCTAGCCTGAAATTTTATTCTTAGCTCTAATAAATCAAATTCACATGGGAGCCCTTTCTGAACACTATAACGAGTTGCCTGAATGAGTTGATTGCTCTCTGACCTTTATGTATGCATCGGCGGTGTACTGATGGCATTATTCATATTCACCAAAAACGGCTCCTGTAGTCCTCTTATGTCTTCACCTGCATACAGACAGTGTTTAGGCTAGATCTAATTCTTTCCGATTAATACCAATCCTGAATGTAGGGCCCGGGAAAGGGACATCTGCGTTGGTCCGGTCCTTTGATGTTCTCTAACAAGGGAAGCATACTTGGTCAAAGTGCAGTTTCTATTTGAGATATGTACTTTTTCATAGATGAAACGCTGATTCCAAATCTGCTTTCGGCATCTGCAAAGCGCTTTTGGGATGGAACTTATGAAAGTTTTTTAAGGCAAAAATTCAAGGTATAGCGTGAGGTAAAGACGAGTCTTGAGGTCTTTCCGGCGCGTAAATGGAGTAACGACCACCTCAAATTTATTAGACTAAAGGTATAATTGCATAAAGAGCCCTGGCAGTAATCGTGATCCCCTCCAAGCTCATAGACCACAGTTCTGAATGATTTTACTGCAGCTGCGTCTAGAAATTTTTGCGTCATCTCCGTCAATCCCCTTCCAGAAGCGCTTTGCAGATGTCGAAAGCAGATTTGGAATCAGCGTTAAACGATCTGCAAGATAGTGTACATTTCCTATGAACACGCCACTTCGACCAAGAAACCTTCACTTCTAAGTCGAGATGGACGTGGAACAGCGAAAGTGCTATAAGCCACGCCCAAATCTTGTGAAGCTCCGCGCAGCCAGGGACCGCCTCCCGGCACGTAATTAAGTGGTAGTGAGCGGAAGCAGTTGCTGAAGCAGCAGCAACACCTGTGGTGCGACTGCACCCATGCAGCAGCTTCTCGCCGCTGGCATGCCGACGGGGACAGCAATTGGAAACTCGTCCTCGCCCTCATGACAAGGTCCAAAGCAACTGGGTTTTTGAGGGTTTTAGACAATCCGATCTTCATAACTATATTCAGGGCCACGAAAATACCAGATTCCAGAATGGCAAAAACTTGGGGCGCAAAATTTTAGATGGAAGCTGCCTTGAACACTGACTTGCTGACTTGTCCGCTTTTGCTTCGAGCTCAGCTTTCTTTTACCGTGAGCTTGCATGTGGGCCCATTCAAAAAAGCGAGATTGCCACGACACGAGAATGTGACTACCCTATTTTCCGGAGTATGAGCCGCACCTTGTATAAGCCGCACCCGCCGCAACGAACAATGGCGCGAAAGCACTTTGAAAAGAACTATTTAGCAAATTGAAAACTCGGTGCGTTCTAGTACGGATAGTTCTGTCTTCAGGATCTTTTTTTTTACTTTTTAAAACTTTTTTCCTTAATGGGTTCAACCAAGCCCTGACAACTGATCTAGACATAGACGATCTCGATAATAGCTACTCGTCAATACATCTTGATGATGATGGGATGCTTAGACTTTTCTTGTTTCTTATGACTTTGCGGGTGTTTAGGTTGTGTTTTCTTTCCTGAATGATACTAGTGATTGACTGTGCTTTCCTTTTTTCAATGATTGATTTACCGGTTTGAGCTTATCTCCTTTCGATTCCATGTCACTACTGGTATTCAAACGTTCTTTTATAGTTCAGCGGATTCTTGATAAATGAGAAGGTAGAGAATTTTGTTACAAACAAATACACTTGCGAAGAAACCAAATAAAGAACGGAAGCAGAAAGTACGTATCAGATTACCAAACGAAATAGATAGTAGTTGCTGCTTGTGCGGCTTCGCGCATCGCGAACGACATCGCATTTGCCGCGCGCGGTGAAGAGAAATGCGGCTTATACTCCGGAAAATAGGGTATTAATAATTTCAAAAAATTCCGAGATTGTTTGGAATGGTGATGCCTCAGTGATATTTGTATAAGCTCTTTACATCGACCCTTCTAAACTCTTCGCCATTGCATTATCAGGAACGAGTTGTCATGGGCTCTTGAATGATATTGGTGGCAAAAAGAATTCTACTTGATTTTATGTGGGGAATCGTGAGCCTACCACTGAAGCTGGTTTCATGAAGGCAGTGGGTCGGTAAAATGGACCATAGTCAGACTTTGGTGGTGTTAGGTAGCAGACCCTCCAAGAACATTTTAACTCCACGCTCACCCTCCAATTCATGCGCTGAGTCTTGAAAATGCGCTTCGAAACTTCACCAGCCCGCCCACTTAAGTGTGCATCATTGGTGAAGTTTTGAAGCGCATTTCAGTACTCAGACCAATTGGAGGGTGGCGTGGATTTACGGTGTACTTGTGTGATCTACTACCTAACGCTACCAAAATCTGATTAGAGTTCATTTTGCCGATCCACTGCCTTCAAAGCATTCTCAGAATTTTCGAAATTCTCTGAATTTAATACTAATGCACATTATCGGTCTTGAAAATTTCGTTCCCTCGAATGAGGTCTAACGACAACCTTACACGTTTACTGATAAACGAACTACAAACGAGAATCACCACATGTATGATGCATATATAATAGAATATTAACATCCACTCATTAGACAGCCTTCTTATTTAGTGTGTACTGAAAAGGTCTTTTGGTGCAAAAACTCGGTCTGCAAATTACGAGTTTCTTTACCAAAAAATAGGTTCACTGACCCTTGTATATATTAGGTCGTTCCGAAAGTAATGTCGCTTTTTTCAAACGTATGCCACATCTCGTGGAACAAAGGTATGTAAGAGATTCTGGTAGCATTTGATG